GACTTTTTTTTTTAAATTTACAATTGCACAGGTGCTGCTGTCTTCATCAAGCGACGAATTTCTTTGATCTTTTCTTCACTAATAATTTGTGTGCGCCTTTAGAAGAAAAAAACCCAGAATAAACAGTAATTGACACATGCGTGTAGATTGTATGGTTGGCAGTATTCTAATAGCCTTTCCCGAACACAATGAAATATTGTGTTCATTCAATTCCCTGGAAGCTAAGGTTGGATATGACCACCTGAAAGTAAAGTTTGAAGTCTGAACAACGGATCAACGTCATGGCACACGGGTAGTAACACATAAGTGCTCCGTTCTTCTTCTAACTCAAGTCTGAGTCTGAAGAAGCTCAGCACAGTGCACATGCTCTGTAGCACCGGCGAGGATCCTGAAATACTTTGGGTAGATTTTTAACTCTAACTTTTACTCGAGCAGCACCGTTAGGCAACTCTTTTCGATTTCCAACTGACAAGTGAATTTTTTACGTGCGCAACAATGCACACGGGCGTCCGATCTCACTACCCAGAGACCAGGGGGAATTACTAGAAGTCCAAGTCCACGTGAAAAAATCCCAGATTGAACCCAGATCCTCTAGCACTCGAGGCGGACACCATGCCTCTAGACCACGCAGCCCTCTAGAAAGTGAAACGAATATCTTCTTCTTCTTCAGCGATCTCTGGTCATGCGCATAATCCACTGTGGGTCATAAACTGGGATGTCTTTTCAAGGTCTCTTAGGTTTCCCCAAAGCTTAGTTGTCAGTTCTACTGGGTGTTGCCATATGTCGCTCCGCAGCTCCGCCAGGAGAGGACAGTCTTGCAGGACATGTTCTGGAGTCTGTTCAGCACGAAGACACTGGCAGAGAGCTGTTTGGCTCATACCTAATTTATGTGAGTGTTTTTTCGGTCTGCAGTGATTTTCTCTTAATGAGAGTTTTGACTTCTAGAAAAGATAGTGGCTGATAGGTCTGCGGTTTGTTACTGGAAACGAATATAAAACGCATGCAATCTGAGGTTTTTATACAGTTTCCGTCACACAATAACCTGTAAGCATGTATACTGTTTGTCTTAAATAGGTGTCCCCCCCCCCCCCCCCCCCTTTCTTTCCATACACCACAAATAAGGCAACTTGAAAACTAGATGTTTGTTTACACTAAAAATAAATTCTTACAAGGACATGATTATTGTGAGGTTGCGTGCCAAATTTCGACTGTTACACCGAACGGTTACCGAGCTAAAAAAAAAAGAAAAAAAAAAAAAGAGTTGCTTGTCCTTTACAGAAACGGTTCTTAAACTGGGTGCCGCGGGACACAGGGGTGCTGCGAGCATATGCCTGGGGTGCGGCGGCAGTAATCAAAAATTTGTCAAAATCTGCCTGGGATCACAGTGAAGATCGAAATATGTTCTTGAATTTAAAGGAAAAAAAAAATAACAACACATGAAAAAGAAATTGAAAATTTTACAAACTTTAAATATCTAGGCTCTATAATAAACAGCAATGGAGGCTGTTTGACAGAAATATAAAAGATTGCAAAGATTGAACAGCCTTAAAAGTTTATGTTTAAGAACCAGCAAGATCAAAATTAGAATTTTGAGAGCATGCATTTTCCCTGTGGCTACATGGGGATGTGAGTCGTGGACTATCTATCAGTCCTTAAGAAAGAGAATTGGGGCTTTTGAGATGAAATGCTATAGAAAGAATATCTTGGACAAAGAAGAAGAGAAATACTGACATATTGAAACATTAGAACATCAAGGAAGATTGGCTAATAAACAGCATCCTTTCTCGAAAGCTGAAATATTTTGGTCATATCAAGCGCCACGTCGGATTGGAAAAAATTATAGCAGAAGGCATGGAAAAAATTATAGCAGGAGGGGCAGGGGCCGACCGACACGAAGATGGGCACAGGATATAAGTGACTTCTTGAGTATAAAAGTACACGAGGCGAGAGAGCTGGCGAGAGACCGAGTTTCTTTCAGGCAGACTGTGATGAGAGCGACGTTCTGCAAAGGATCTGCTACATGATGATGATGATGCTTGAGATCAGCGAAGACAGCAGTTTAAAACAGAAATACTATGAAGGAAGCCAAGAAGAGTTCTGGATGCTGGTTTCTTCAGAAGAAAAAGACAAGGCCGCAGTGCATTCTCAACGTACGCCTGCACTTCAAAAAAAAAAAAAAAACAGATATAGGAGCAAACTTTCTGGGTGAAGTGATTTAACGGTAAAATTTGTTAAGCATCCTAAATCATCATCATTATCAGGTGCCTTGCCGACTGGCTTGGGCGATCATGCCTCTCCATAATCCACGATCTCCTGCAGAATGTATGAGTTCGTGTGCCGACACACCTCCATGCCATGCAACAAGACTGTCAAAAAGCATCCCATATACATAACAGAAATAATGAAAAATTTATTCAAACAGTTTTATTTATTGCATTAAAGACAATTGAACATTACATATGCAATCTTTTTACCGCTTTGGGGGAATGTGTGACGCGAAAATTTGTTTGCCGACAAGGATGCCACAGCAAACAAACAAACAAAAAGTGTAAGAACCGCTCCTTTTCACGGCGTTGCAGAACCAACGTCATCATTTTTTTTAGCTGTTGTGGTTTTCTAGGCAAATTGACCTCCAGTAGTTTGCCATTGCTTCCGGGCGGTCGGCTTCTAGATCCCACTGTCGAAACCAGCACAAAGCGCAAGACCCACAGCTGGGATCCAACCCTGCACCCCGGCATTACGAAGCGTGTTCGCAACGTCTAAGTCACGAACTACTGAATTGGAATTTTTTTTTTATTTGGCCACTACTTATGCAACAGACTATACAAGTTAAACTTGACACGGTTAGCTTCCTTGCACCGGTGTTATCGTAGATGGCTCGGTATCCCTCTGCACCCCTTCTACCCGCCTGCTTAGCGCCGCACAAAGCACGAACTTCGTATCTCCAGCCACGATCAACTAGGAATCTCTGTAAAAACCGCACTAGTGAACTGAGCCACGCGTTTGAGAAACGAACTCACGACTTTCAGCCAAAAAGGTTTGTCTGACTTCTCCCCCCCCCCCCCTCCTCCTCGGGGCCCAACCCTCCCCCTTCTACAAGGACCCCCGACCTAGAACGTTGATGGGAAGGAAGCTGTCTGTCACCATAACAACGTGTATGCTCCAACGGCAGCTCTCAGAAATATGAAAAACCGGTGACACTCGGAGGATCGTCACGGGCCAATGACCTGCATTTCTGCTTCAGCGGTACTAACAGGGGGTCTTCGTTACGCCTGGCTGATTCCGGACAACAGCAGCCTACTGGCTGCTCTCTGGCACTCAAAATGGAAACAAATGATGCGAGTCGGCACGCTGGGTCGAAGAATTACGTGATGGCTTTGTGTACTTTGTTCGGGTAGAGAATCCCGTGTCACATGTCTGCTTGAGGTGTCCAGTGCTTGGTTAGATTTCTAGGAACACACTGCAACAAGTGAGCAGTGTCCCTGCAAGCTTAATGTTCTTTTCTCGGTTAGTTCGACGTTAGTCTCCCTAAATAGAGTAGGTCACTTTTCATTCATAAGTTTGTTGGGCTGGTCGACTTTCCTCAAGGTTACGGGTGTGTCCGTTCCGTTCTTTGGTTTGTCTGATGTCTTGCATTTACGTTTTCATTCCGAGAAAGAGCCAGACCTCCGGGAAGACCCAGGGTGCGCTGGGAAGACAACATCCGACAGTCCCTGACTGACAGAGGACTGGAATGGAACAAAGCCAGAAAGAAAACTGCTGATAGAGACGTCTGGCGATCTCTCTGGCAAACCTCTACACCCCAAGGTAGAAGAGGAGCGACTAAGTAAGTAAGTAAGTAAGTATTCCGAGAAAGAGAATTCCTGTGTCATAGGTTGCAGCACTCTCTAGGGTAGGGGTGGGGGTAGGGGGGGGGGAGAAATTGGTGTAAGACCCAGTTTCTCCATATTTTTGGAGTGTTAAAAGCGCCGGCGTTCTGAAATATACAACACACATACAACAGCATTGCGGGACACCCCCGTAACCTTGTACGAAGGCCATGCGGCACAGAAACTATCAATCAGAAGTGAGCTAGTGTGTATATGCGCAGGTCCGGGGAGACTAACGTCAAACTAACGTCTTTTTTGATGCCCTGTATGGGCTCGCCCCACCCCCCCCCTTTTTGGTGGGTGGGGGGGGGGGCAATTAGAATATCCTTCCTGCCTACAAAACAAGCATGTCGTAAAAGGCAACTAATTAGACGGTGATCCTTCGAGTTCAGAGTGCATCTGCTTGCAGGTCGAGGAACCAAAAGTCTGTACACACATAAGCCAGGTCTGTAAAACTGATGTGCACGCAAACTGACATTTTGGAACAAGGCTTTCCTGTGTGAGTTCCGGGACCCCATTGTGGAGAAAACAAGAATAGACACAACAAGCATGTCGTAAGAGTCGACTAACCGTGCTTTTTTAAGTCGAAGTGCTTCTGTCTGAGAATTAAAAAAAAACCTTACAATCTGCATTAAGATAAGTCTTTCTGTAAAATGGAAGGGCATGCAACACTAAGGTTCTGGAACAAGACTTAAGTCCAGAACTGGACAAGCAACCAGAACTTTCTGTCAAAGCTGACAACCGGTGAACGCAAAGAAGAAGAAGAAGAAGGAAGAAGGCCAAAGTCCACAAGTGGATGAACAACACAAATTTTTCGCGGGAGTTTACACTTAGTGAGGAGCGAAGAGGAATAAAACTATGACATAATCTTATATATATATGTTAACGACACACACCATAGACCCTAAACACTTTTCACAAAACAGTTTCAGTAATCTCCCCTGTTGCTCATATCTATTTTACTTTCACACGAAAAACTACATGAAATAGCCGGAAACATCACATACCCCCATTGCGTATGAAAATTAACTTCATTTATAAACATTGGTATGTATACGAATCAATAAGACCGCACAGTTTAATTAGTCCCCGAATCTCTCTTTTCCTACAGCGCCCCATGTTGGACTGTACAATGATTTATGGTGAATTTTGTTTCGCTTTTTATTAATAAAGTTGTTCGCATTTTTGGAAACTCGTTAATTTCATCCTGATGTGGTGTGTGTGTGTGTGTGTGTGTGTGTGTGTGGGGGGGGGGTGGAAAGGGGGGGGGGGTTGTTTCTGGTGTGGCGGGATCTCTCGTGTGGGTGGATCTCTGGTGTGGGTGGATCTCTGGTGTGGGTGGATCTCTGGTGTGGGTGGTTCTCTGGTGTGGGTGGATCTCTGGTGTGGGTGGAACTCTGGTGTGGGTGGATCTCTGGTGTGGGTGGATCTCTGGTGTGGGTGGATCTCTGGTGTGGGTGGATCTCTGGTGTGGGTGAATCTCTGGTGTGGGTGGTTCTCTGGTGTGGGTGGATCTCTGGTGTGGGTGGATCTCTGGTGTGGGTGGAACTCTGGTGTGCGTGGATCTCTGGTGTGGGTGGATCTCTGGTGTGGGTGGATCTCTGGTGTGGGTGGATCTTTGGTGTGGGTGGATCTCTGGTGTGGGTGGATCTCTGGTGTGGGTGGTTCTCTGGTGTGGGTGGTTCTCTGGTGTGGGTGGATCTCTGGTGTGGATGGATCTCTGGTGTGGGTAGATCTCTGGTGGGTGTGGATCTCTGGTGTGGATGGATTTCTGGTGTGGGTGGATCTCTGGTGTGGGTGGATCTCTGGTGTGGATGGATCTCTGGTGTGGATGGATCTCTGGTGTGGGTGGATCTCTGGTGTGGGTGGATCTCTGGTGTGGGTGGATCTCTGGTGTGGATGGATTTCTGGTGTGGGTGGATCTCTGGTGTGGGTGGATCTCTGGTGTGGATGGATCTCTGGTGTGGGTGGATCTCTGGTGTGGGTGGATCTCTGGTGTGGGTGGATCTCTAGTGTGGGTGGATCTCTGGTGTGGGTGGATCTCTGGTGTGGGTGGATCGCTGGTGTGGGTGGTTCTCTGGTGTGGGTGGATCTCTGGTGTGGGTGGATCTCTGGTGGGGATGGAAGATAACTGATGTGGGAGAATCATGTGTAGACTAAATAAATGATTACTGAAGGCATGGTTGTCTGTCGTGGTCGTTTTGTCATCATCTTCATCGTCACTAAAACACCGCCTCCAACTCTCATCCATCATATTCCTCTCCTCCACCTTATTTCTCTTTTTCTTCCTCCCCTCTCTCCTCCTCCTCTTCGCCTTCTTTTAAAATGATCAAAATACAGACTGTAGCTGACAGAACTATTATCTACATCATCAGCACGATTTCCCGTGTGGGTTTGGGGTCCTGTTATATGGAAAACAAGAATAGACCCCAATGATTACACAAAAGCATGTCGAAAGAGTCGATTAATTGGGAGCTTTCTTCAAAGTCGGAGTGCATCTGTCGGAGAGTCAAGGAACCAGCAGTCTATATACAAATGAGTCAGATCTGTCAAACGGATGCACACGCAACACTCAGATTCTGGAACAGGACTGCAGTTCAGAAGTGGACGAACAGCCAGAACTTTCCGCCAGAGTTTACAGCTGGTGAAGGCGAAGAAGAAGAAGATCATCACCGTCACTATCAGCAACACAATCGTCATCATCATCATTACCTTCAAATGTGGACTTTCAAGGGTTGTGAAACCCTGTTTGCTTCTTTGTTCTAGACACCTTGAGAGACACAAGCTCTTATCGTATCCATACAAACAGACAGACAGACAGACAGACAGACAGACAGACAGACAGACAGACAGACAGACAGACAGACAGACAGACAGACAGACAGACAGACAGACAGACAGACAGACAGACAGACAGACAGACAGACAGACAGACAGACAGACAGACGACAGACAGACAGACAGACAGACAGACAGACAGACAGACAGACAGACAGACAGACAGACAGACAGACAGACAGACAGACAGACAGACAGACAGACAGACAGACAGACAGACAGACAGACAGACAGACAGACAGACAGACAGATGCATGGATGGATGGATAGATAGATGAATCAACGGACGGATGAATTGATGAATAGACAAATGGATGAATGGATGGATGGCCAATTTGATGGATGAATGTGGTAGGCAGAGGGATAGATGCCGCGGAAGGACGGACGGACGGACGGACGGACGGGCGGGCGGGCGGGCGGGCGGGCGGCCGGGCGGCCGGGCGGGCGGGCGGGCGGGCGGGCGGGGCGGGCGGACGGACGGACGGACGGACGGACGGACGGACGGACGGACGGACGGACGGACGGACGGACGGACGGACGGACGGACGGACGGACGGACGGACGGACGGACGGACGGACGGACGGACGGACGGACGGACGGACAGACAGGACAGACAGACAGACAGACAGACAGACAGACAGACAGACAGACAGACAGACAGACAGACAGGACAGACAGACAGACAGACAGACAGACAGACAGACAGATAGACAGATAGATAGATAGATAGATAGATAGATAGATAGATAGATAGATAGATAGATAGATAGATAGATAGATAGATAGATAGATAGATAGATAGATAGATAGATAGATAGATAGATAGATAGATTAGATAGATTAGATTAGATTAGATAGATAGATAGATAGATTAGATTAGATTAGATAGATAGATAGATAGATAGATAGATAGATAGATAGATAGATAGATAGATAGATAGATAGATAGATAGATAGATAGATAGATAGATAGATAGATAGATAGATAGATAGATAGATAGATAGATAGATAGATAGATAGATAGATAGATAGATAGATAGATAGATAGATAGATAGATAGATAGATAGATAGATAGATAGATAGATAGATAGATAGATAGATAGATAGATAGATAGATAGATAGATAGATAGATAGATAGATAGATAGATAGATAGATAGATAGATAGATAGATAGATAGATAGATAGATAGATAGATAGATAGATAGATAGATAGATAGATAGATAGATAGATAGATAGATAGATAGATAGATAGATAGATAGATAGATAGATAGATAGATAGATAGATAGATAGATAGATAGATAGATAGATAGATAGATAGATAGATAGATAGATAGATAGATAGATAGATAGATAGATAGATAGATAGATAGATAGATAGATAGATAGATAGATAGATAGATAGATAGATAGATAGATAGATAGATAGATAGATTTTCATTTGAAAGTTTTTCCGCTAATCTCGACTTGTCTTATTCTGTATCTATCTCTCTGTCTCCTGCCTCTCTGTCTCCTGCCTCTTTGTCTCCTGCCTCTCTGTCTCACCGTCTCTCTTCCTTTCTCTTTCTCCCTGAGTGCGTGCAGTTACCATCCAGGATTTTCTGTTTTTGCTTGATATTCATAATATCTATTATGCACAGTGCAAACATTATTTACACTATACAGCTGCGGTATAAAAGATTTGCGTTTGGAAGGGCCCAGTATTAGACGACAGGCATGCTCAATTTGTGACCTAAAATAAAGTCAGTTTTCTCTCTCTTCTTCCGTCTGTGTGTGTTTCTCTCTCTCTCTTTCTCTCTTCCTCTTTGTTTATCTCTCTATCTTTCTCTCTTCCTCTCACTTTATCTGTCTTTTTCTCTCTCAGTCTCTTTCTGTGTGTCTTTCTGTCTCGGTCTGTCTCTCTCCTTCTTCCTCCAATTCTCTCTCTTTCTCTCTCTCTTTCTCCCTCTTACTCTAATGTTGTCTATGTTGAAGTGGCTGAGCAATTTGCCACACGCTCTAAAGTAGTGGATTTTTTTTTAACAGACTTCGTCGTCCAGATCACGAACACAATTTTTAATGAGACCTCTTGGGATTTTTGCTGGAGCTACGGAGTTCGTGCTTTGGGCGATGAGGGCAGTAGCCGTTGTTGGGCAAAAGGCCAAGCCATTTTGAGTAAAACCTTGGTGCAGGTAAGTTACTCATCTCGACTCGACACTACATAGGAGACCAATATCTTCTAATTCTATTGCTTTCTACCATAGTGCCCTCAGGTGCTTCTCGACAGTCACCACCGGTTAACAGTTAACAGTCCTTTCTGTTCCAATCTGCCGTCTGTGATAACCTCATCTCACACATCTCTCTGGTCAGTCAGTACTTCCAAAGGCGCCGACTTATCCCTAAGGCAGATCCAACAGGTAGCGACGCCTCTGAGAGTCGAAAAGTTGAGTCCTTGAATGATTCAAAGTAATCGTCATCTGGTTTACAACTTGATCTCATCTTCTGGGCGTGAAGTGGATCGCCCTTGGGAGTTGGGTTGTCTTGTTCGATGTTGTTCGATGTTTATTGCTAGCGACTCCTTGGGACCAAGAAATTAGTGAAGTTAAAAAGTAAAGGATTGTTTCCACCTAAATGGAAGACTGGATTGTTTTTCCCTGTAGGATTTTGGTCTGTATGATTAACACGAGGGGGAGGGGGAGGGAGAGAGGGGAGAGAGGGAGACCGAGAGAACAGATACTGGACAGTTTGACATCATGGCATGGAAGATCATCTGTGTCAGAATTGACTGAAAGTACATGAGACAGAAGGTTGTGAATAGACATGACTACCAACGCCACACTGAATGGACTATGGAAGATCATCTGTGTCAGAACTGACTGAAAGTACACGGGACAGAAGGTTTTGGATAGACATGGATACCAACACCACATGGCATAGACTATGGAAGATCATTTGTGTCAGAGTTGATTGAAAGTAAACGAGACAGAAGGTTGTGGATAGACATGTCTACCAACTCCACACGGCATGGACTCTGAAAAGCAGATGCAGAACGCGAAAGAAGAAGACACCTGGAGGATGTCAATGAAACAGGTACAAATCTGGAAAACCCCGATGAACCATACAACACAGTTGAACTGCGGCACCAATAAATGTTTTCAAGCAACCTACAGTTCAGTGATTAGAGTTTAGAGAGGATTATCATAACAGCACTTCGGATAGATCTATAGGTGCTCCGATCTCCTCCTCAAAAGTTCCACAAGTGTAAAACAACTGAAGACGCCTGTTCTGTGTTGGTTAATGAAACGTCTTGTTCCCTTAGAGAAATGTTCATTTCTTGCAGCTCCAGGCTGCACCCCCATGTCCATCAGTCTAGACAGGGATCTGGAGTCACGTCCTTTGGCGTGATCCTCGGTACAGTAAGTGCAGCGCATGGTATTGATAACATCACTTCTGTCCAGTACTGAACCAGTCATAGCAACCGCAGTGTCAGCAAGATAGTCTGCACGCTCGTTGCCTTGAACACCCACATAACTACAGTACAGCGTTGACGGGTAATTACACGAAACTCATGTATTTATAAACCCGCTGGAGCTCAAAAGGTAATGTGGTCTCAATCTGCCGTCAAAGATAATGTCATCCGAGTCATCTCGCCTTGTTTAGTACTGCCAAAGGCGCCGGCGTATTCTCAGTCAGTTCCAACAGGTAATGACATCAATAAGAGTCCACAAGTGATGTACTGCCATGATTCAAAGTAATCTTGATCTGGTTTACAAATACTGTAAGTCTTCGATTGTTGGTCGGAAGTAGATGGTTGCTCTCGGAGTCGGCTCTCGTGAGACCAATCTATTGAAGGGGATTTCTTGACGGCCGCAGAAATTATCTGTTAAATCTTCTTCTTGTTGGCGTGGGCCTGCTGTTTTTTCAGCCGAAGCGCCCATTTTTAGAAGGACGGTTGGCCTAGTGGTTTTCTTCGTGTAGGTTCTGGGGCCCTGTTATAGGGAAAACAAGAATAGACCCTCTGCCTACCTAGAAGCATGTTGTAAGAGTCGACTAAATGGGAGCTTCCTTCAAAGTCGGAGTGCATCTGCCCGAGAGATAAGGAACCAGCAGTTAGCATACAAATGAGTCAGATCTGTAAAACGGATGTACACGCAAAATTCAAGTTCAGGAACAGGACTGCAGTCCAGAAGTGGACGAACAACCAGAACTTTCAGCTGGTTAACGCGAAGAAAAAGAAGATACCCAAATAAGCCTAAAGACTTAAAAAAGTATCCTGACTTTTTAAAACAATAGTGATGGATGGTGGAAGGGACAAGGAGATGGCGGATGGTTGACGGCTGGTGGGGGGGGGGGGGGTGGGTGGGGCTATGGGATGAGGTCGATCGGTTTATATGGAGGGGTGAGTAGGAAGGCGGATTGGTGATTGAGTGGATGGGTGTGTCGCTGGATTAATCGGCGAACGGGTTCGTGGGTTTCTCATT